TCCTGGGGTGGGGGAGCTGATCCCGAAATTCCAGGGACTCCTCCTCACCTGTCCCCTTGTACTTGTCCACAAAGCAATATTTGAGCTCATAATCCTTCAATAACTCATGGACATCCTGGAAAAAAAACCAAAAAAAAAAGGGATTTTTTCATGGAAATGAGGAGAAAAAAAAAAAGCCAAATTCCTGGGAATGGATGGCTGAGGATCGCCAGTGCCCCTCCCAGTGTCCCCAGTTTGACATTCCAGGATTTTTTTTTCCCCCTCGGGAAGATTCTCCTCCTCTTCCCAAACCGGATCTTCCAGACTTTGCCCTTCCCGAAATTAATTCCCAACCTTCGGCCTCGGGGCGCGGATTCACTCTCGGGAATGGGGAAGGGAAAAACGAACCCGGGGGGTGGTTTGGGAATTCCAGGAGGGAATTTTGGGCTTTTGGAGGATTTGAAATGAGTGGGGAGAGAATGATTTGGAGGCAGAGAACGGAAAAATTTAGGAAGGAAGGGAGGAAAGGAAAGGGGAAAGGAAAGGAAAGGAAAAAGGAAAGGGAAAAAGGAAAGGAAAAAATCCGGGATGGATTTGGGGATCCCCAAGCCGTGTGGGGTCAGGCTCCGGTCCCGGTTTCCCGTTCCCTCATTCCGCTCATCCCCGTTCTCCATCGCCGTTCTCCATCGCCGTTCTCCGCCTCACCTGGTTGGTCACATCCGCCGGCAAGCCGCGGATCAGAATCTTCCGCCGGTTGCGGAACTGCCGCTCGCTGTGCTCCAGGCGGCTCCGCACCTCGGCCGGGTCCAGGGGCGGTAATTCCTCCTCAGGGGCCCGGTCGAGCCCCGCCGGTGGCTCCGCTCCGGGCCCGGGCCCGGCTCCGCTCCCCGAGAGCGCCGCCGCCATCTTGGCCCCGCCACGGCCCGCCACGTCAATAACGCGGCTTCTGATTGGAGGATGGGTCGGCTCGGAGTATCCGCAGCGCTGATTGGGGGATGTGGGAAAGGGATGCGGATAAGACAGCGACTCCCATTGGACGGAAGGGAGAGTTGGTTGTGTCCGAGGTTGTGATTGGGCAGCGGCGGGTGAGCCCCCAAGATCGAGAGATTCTATTGGTTGCTTGCTTTGGACCTCTGAACCCCAAGAAATATCCCCCATAGAGACCCCAAAAAAACCCAAATTAACCCCAAATACAGACCCCAAAATAACTTAAATAAAGACCCTAAAAAAATCCCAAATTAACCCCAAATAGAGACCCCAAAAATACCCAAATTAACCCCAAATAGACCCCAAATTAACCCCAAATAGAGACCCCCAAAAACCCCAAATTAACCCCAAATACAGACCCCAAAAAACCCAAATTAACCCCAAATTAACCCCAAATAGAGACCCCAAAAAACCCTAAATTAACCCCAAATAGAGACCCCAAAAAACCCAAATTAACCCCAGAGACCCCAAAAAACCCCAAATTAACCCCAAATAGAGACCCCAAAAAACCCCAAATTAACCCCAAATACAGACCCCAAAATAACTTAAATAAAGACCCTAAAAAATCCCAAATTAACCCCCCCAAAAAAAGCCAAGGGACCTTTTCCAGCCTTTATTTAGGATCCCCCAAATCCCCCCCCAAATTCCGGGGGAGGGGCACAGCAGGCAATAAATAAAGGAATTTTTGGGAATCCCCCCCAAAACCCCAATAAAGTGCCAGGCTTTTATTTCTTTATTATTTCTTTATTTTTTTTATTTTTATTTTTT